AGAATGTGTATTGATCTTAAACTTAGTCAAAAAGCTGCTAAAGACAAACACAAGGCTAAATATGAATTAGGAAATTTTTGTGAACAATATGGTTTACCCCCTGTAGCACCCTCTCGCCGTAAAAAACATAAACATAAGTCTTCCTCTAAATATTCTACTAAATATAAAAAGAAATATTTACCTTCCAAGTCAACTGATAAATTTTATACTAAACCTACAAAGAAATATTATAGGCAATCACATCCCAAATCAAAATCTAATAAAGATATTACTTGTTATAATTGTGGTAAAAAAAGTCATTATTCTAATAAGTGTAAAGAAAAACAAAAACTAAAAGATAAAGTTAATCAACTTCAAATCAATAATGAATAAAAAATTCAATTATTTGAAATTTTCCAATTAAATCAATCTGCTAGTAACTCTGAAAATAGTAATCCTCCTGACACATCTTCTGATTACCATTCACCCAGTGGACATTCTGATAATGATATTGAATTAGGATGTAATGATATTTGTTGTAAACCAGTTAAACAAATTACTGTTCTTACTAAACAAAATCAAGAAGAAACTGCCCTTATTGAATTAATTAGTCGATTAGAAGATCCTGAATTAAAACAGAAATATACTGCTAAATTAAAATCTTTATTAACTGATAAGAAATTGAAACCTGACAAACCAATTATTAGTTTATCTAAAACTTTAGAAAGATTTAAAAATAAATCAAAAGACATTACTCTTCAAGATTTACAACAAGAAATTAATCAAATCAAACGTTTAATCAAAGATTTACAGAATAAAGATAAATTATTAGAAGATGAAATCACTGTTTTAAAAATTAATAAAAGTTTAGATAATTTTCAAGCTAATGATGACATTTCCTCAGAAGAATCTGATAATGAATCTGAACATACTAATCCTAATAATCTTTCATTTGATAATCGATCCCCTCATTCCTCTGATCATGAAAACAAAAGATTAAATCTTCTCAATAAAATACATATTCAAAAATGGTACTCCAAAATTAAATTAGTAATTAATGATTTTGAATTAGAAGTTATTGCTCTTATTGATACTGGTGCTGATCTTAATTGTGTTCAAGAAGGATTAATTCCTACTAAATATTATGAGAAAACTAGTGAAAAATTAACTTATGCTAATGGTAGTCAAATGCATATTAAATATAAATTACCACAAGTTCATATTTGCCAAAATAATGTTTGTTTTAAAACATCTTTTGTTTTAGTCCGAAATATGACTGACAAAGTTATTTTAGGAACACCATTTATATTTTTGCTATATCCATTTACTACTTCCACTCAAGGAATAACTACTCAAGCCCTTGGCCAAACAATTACTTTTAAATTTTTATCTCCTCCTGAACCTCTTGAATTACATCAATTAAAAGATTGTTCTATTTCCTAAACTATTAATAGATTAACTTGTCAGTTAAGATTTCTTAAAGAAGAAGTTAATTACAAAAGAATTGAGCAACAATTAACTGACCCAATTCTTATATCTCAAATTGAAGAATTTAAATTAAAATTAGAAACAACTGTTTGTTCAACTCTGCCCACTGCCATTTGGCATAGAAAAAAACATGTAGTTACACTGCCATATATTAAAAATTTTAATGAATGAAAAATTCCTACTAAATCTAGACCTATTCAAATGAATCATGAATTAGTTGAAATGTGTAAAAAAGAAATCAATGAATTATTAAAAAATAAGATTATTAGTCATAGTAAATCACCTTGATCTTGCCCCGCCTTTTATGTTAATAAAAAAGCTGAATTAGAACGAGGTGTCCCTCGTCTAGTTATTAATTATAAACCATTAAATAAAGTTTTAGAATAGATTAGATATCCAATTCCTAATAAAAAAGACTTAATCAAAAGATTTAGTCAAGCTGTCATTTTTAGTAAATTTGATTTAAAAAGTGGTTTTTGGCAAATCCAAATTCATCCTAAAAATCGATATAAAACTGTTTTTACTACACCCTTTGGTCACTATGAATGGAATGTCATGCCTTTTGGACTAAAAAATACACCTAGTGAATTTCAAAATATAATAAATGACATTTTCAATCCATTTAGTCATTTTTCCATAGTTTATATAGATGATATTCTCATTTTTTCACAATCAATTAGTGAACATTGGAAATATCTTACCGCTTTCTTTTATATTATTAAAAGTCATGGTCTAGTCATATCTGCTCCTAAGATTAAATTGTTCCAAACTAAAGTCAGATTTTTAGGATATGATATTCACCAGAATACAATTTTACCAATTAGTCGCTTTATTGAATTTGCTTCTAAATTTCCTGATGAAATTCTAGAGAAAACCCAGTTACAAAGTTTCTTAGGATCACTTAATATATTGCTGAATTTTACAAAGACTTTAGAAAAACTTGTCAACCCTTATTTGATCGGTTAAAAGACAATCCTCCCCTTTGGTCTACTCATACTGCTATTGTTAAACAAGTCAAACAATATGTCAAGTCTCTTTCTTGTCTTGGTATTCCCACTGAAAATTCCTTTAAAATTATTCAAACCGATGCCTCTGATATTGGTCAATGGTTATGGTGGCATCCTTATCCAAAAAATCACTCCTCAGTCATCTGAACAAATTGTTCGATTTCATTCTGGTGTCTGAAATAAAGCACAAAAGAATTATAGTACTATTAAACAAGAAATTTTATCTACTGTTCTATGCATTAGTAAATTTCAAGATGATATTTTAAATCAAAATTTTTTACTTCGTGTTGATTGTAAATCTGCTAAATATGCTTTAGAAAAAGATGTTCAAAATCTTGCTAGTAAGCAAATTTTTGCCTGTTGGCAATTTTTAGAAAAAGATGTTCAAAATCTTGCTAGTAAGCAAATTTTTGCCTGTTGGCAATTTATATTAAGTATTTTTGATTTTGATATTGAATATATTCCTGGTTGTCAAAATTCTATTCCTGATTTTCTTACCTGAGAATTTTTATAGGGTGGATAATGCTTATTCCCTCTATTTCATACCATAAACAGAAAATTAAACACTACAAATCCCTGATTAAGCATACTATTTCTCGCCTTGTTTTTCCTATTCCCTCTACTTCATACCAGAAACAAAAAATTAAACGCTACAAATCCCTGAGTAAGCATACTGCTTCTCGCCTTGCTTTTCTCAAATCAACCCATGTACCCACTAAACATGCTCAATATATTTAGTTCCATCGGATTAAAGCTCAACGCCAGCAACTTTCTCATTATATTAACTGTTTATATTCACACACTGATCAATTAGATATCCTCTGTGGATGCTAATTTCATTTATCTATTTCACAGGTGTCTCGTCCTAGGCCTCCTTCTAAAGCCTTGGTCCCATCTAGTCAACCTTTTGTTCCTCCTCCTTTGGAGCTAGGCACCAAATATCACCCTGCTGAATTGGTTAATCATTACCAAATTCTTGGTAACATTCCTAAGCCCAGTTATATATCTGCTTTGGCTACTGATCCCTTTGCTTCATCAAGTCAAGCAGTTGTTCCTTACCCTCCAAACCCTATTAAATCTGCCCGATCAGATTATGTTAAATCTACTACTACTAATCTCTTTTTCAAAGAACCCAGTCACCCAAAGTGTCATACTGTTCATGATCTGGTTAAATCTTATTTCCTTCCTGGATGACATTTTGTTCCTCTCCATCCAAAAAAAAACAATTACCTTTTACAAAGACATCTTATTCAACCACCAGTTTATTGTGATTAAACCCATTTATGATCGTACTTACACAAGTGAAATGGTGTATCATTCACTCTATATTCACAACTTTGTTTCTCTGGATGATTGGGGCTCTCCTTATTAACTAAGAGATTTACCTGGTCATTCCATTCAATGTAGTTACTATGATTACATTGGTACCTGGTTCAAAGTTCTCTTATATCAAAATGAGTCAAACAGTCACTCCTGGTTTCTCCAATTTGATCAAAAGTTCAAATTAGAATTACCTACTTGGTTTCTGCGATGGTGGACTCAATATGGCGCCATTTCAGAAATCTTCCCATCTGTAATTATGGAACAAGTCAACTATTTCTCCACTGTTTTCTCATTCACTCCACAGAGAAGGAAATTCCCTCCATTGCTCATTTTTATATCCAAATACAAAATCCCTTGGATATTCAAATGGCAATATGGTATTTCTGATGATGTTATTTACCGACAACACATGGTTAAATGGTGGGATAATTTCAAAATTTCACGCATTGTTAAGATTGTTCAAACTGAATTCCCAATCAACATACATGCTCCAACTCCTACTATGGTTAAAGCTCAACAGATCCCAACTGCTTCATTAACTCAGGGAAGCCAACTTCCTCCAGTCAATCTTAGAAGCCCAACATCTAGCTCTTCTAAGCCCAAGTCATCCAAATCAAAGATTAAATCCAAGTCAGCAAAGCCCAGTTTTGATCAGCCCAAGTCAAAGGACAAGTCCAAATCCAAGGTTAAGCCCAAGTCCAAGTCACCCAAAGATGAGCTCCTCCAAATGGCTCGTCTCCTCATGGCCCAAGCCAAGTCAGACTCGGATAACAACAGTTCAGAAGATGGTTCAGACAGTTCAAACTCTTCTGAAGGTTCAACTACTCAAAATCCATATGAACCCGAATTTCAAGATGCTCATGATCCATATGCTTAGTCAATTGTTGAATCAGTCAACATTGGATTCTATATATATGCATTATAGCTTCACTCTCTACTCATCTTTTGAGAAAAGCTGTTATTTTGTCTATATATTGATTTCCATCAGTCACATGCCACCGAAAGTTATGAATAGTAAAAGCCAAAGTCATAACTATTCATCAATCAGCCAAAAGCTTCAATCAACTTTAGTCATTTGGCCGAAAGTAGCAGACAGCACCCATGTGCTCCATCATGCTCTTCCAGCTATTGTTCACAAGCTGCATAGTTATTTTGTTTTGCTTATAAATTAAGTCATTCTAGTCAATTGTTGGACAGAGTTGGAAAAGAATTTGAGAGACCATTCCTTCCTCAAAAATTAGCTATCTCTGTACTTTATTTTCTATGTATTTCAAAGCAATTCTCTGCAGCTACTTCTATTAAACAATTGTAAGTTTTATTATTAACTGTTTTCTGTTTTGTAATATTTATTTAAACGGTTTTATTTTAGTGCTATTTCCTCCTTTCTACTTTCATTTTCCTACTTTATATAAATATAAGAAAGAAAGAAAGAAAAGAATAAAAGAAAGGTTAAAAAAAAAAACCAGGCCGACCCTCAAAACCTGGTCCGGGTCACCAGTTTTGCCGATTTGACAGCCAGGTTTTTCGGTTTTTCATTTTTACAACGGTTTTGCTCCCACTCCCGTTTTTGGGGGTTGACCGGACCAGAATAAGGCCCGGTTCCCGGTCCAACCGGTCGGTTTGGTCCGGGTTTCAAAACATTAATATTGATGTGAAAAGTTAAAAAAATATTGATAATATTCTTAGTTTTAAAATTGAAAAAAGTTTATAATAATGTTTTTAGTTTTAAAAGTGAAAAAAATTGATTAATTTTTCAATTTTAAAACTACAAAAAATTGAGAAGTTTCTCAGTTTTATTGGATAGATTCACAAATTGAGAAATTGTCAAATTTTTTTAAAAAATAGTATTTTATTTTTATAAAATTTTATATTCAATATTAATCTTGTTTGATAGATCTCATTATGTAGGTTTCAGAAATATAAATTTTATTAAAAATAAATGTGTATAATAAAAGTTATGACATTTTAAAGTTTTGAAACAGCAAAATAAAAATAATAGGTTAGGAGAAGTTATCTAGGGCTATTGGGGCATGGTATGGTCAAGTGGTTGTCCAAAAGAGCTGTGTGACATTTGGTAAAACTTTTAGTAGAATATTTGGGGTCTCTAGCATTACTCTTGGTGAAAAGGGTTGTGTTTACAATTTTGTGTTGGGGTATGGGCATAAGGTTTGGTAATTGGTAGATAACATTGTCATATGGTACACTTAAAATACTTAATAATTTTTCTTAGTATTTAATAAATTGACTCTTTAATTACTTTTGCTTTTTTATAAGGGTAAAACAGTCGTATAAATAAAAATATATTTAAAATAAAATCTTATTGATAAAAAATAATGAAATAGTACTTAATGAAACACCAACCTTATAAATATAACTTTCGAGTAATTAACCCAAAAATGATAGGAGAATTTGTTCTCAATAAGAGGGTGGTATGTCCTGAATTTTTCTTGTTTAGTACCACAAATGACTAATTCTTCTGAATATAATTGGGGCCATTGTTAATATATATATATATATATATATATATGAATAGTGATATATAAACAGATATTTAATTTGACTCACCATATTATTTTACTATCAGCTTAGAGCATCTCCAACGGTGAACTTCTTTTTTCATCAAATTTGAGTAAAAAATGACTCATTTCAACAAATCTGATATCAGTTGCTCCAACGGTGTATCAAAATCCCGTGAGTCAACCGGTTGGTGAGTCAACCGGTTGGTGGGTCAACCGGTAAAGCCAATTTTTTTTTTTTTTAACCTTTTTAAACTGTTTGAACCTACCTCCGTGGGTCAACCAGTGGGTCGACCGGTAAAGCCAATTTTTTTTTTTTTAACCTTTTTGAACTGTTTAAACCAGGCCAATTTCGCATGCACTGGTCGACCGGTTGGTCAACCAGGTGGTCGACCAAGGGGTCGACCAGGTGGTCATCCAAATGGTCGACCCATGTGTAAAATTCTGAAACTTTTCTGCTTCAACGGTCACACATAGTGTTTTGATGAAATATGTATTCTATCATCAGTTTGATGAATCGTTTGCTGAAATCCCAATTTGATATCAATTTGGTGTAATCGTTGGAGTACCAAACCATAAATTTTTCGCTAAATTTAAATTTGATGTCAACTTTAATGAACTGTTGGAGATGGTCTTACTCCTCATATTAACCTACTGTCAGCCTACCAACATAAACCCTACTGTCGCCATTTAATGGTAACCTATTAACCTAAACCCAATTGCCACCATTTAATAGTAACCTTTTACTTCTGCAGGTCCAGCCTTATTTATTGTAGCCTTTCACTTCTGCAGGTCGCAGAGTTGGACAGAATTTGGGAAAAAAGGTTAACACATTTATAGGTGCAATCTTCATTTCAACACAATTTTTAAAGTTTTTTGTTTTCTGTTTTTATTTTGCGCTTTTGGATGAATTTTCAAATTTTTTAATGGAACACTCACTTTTTAGTAACCAACAAAAAGTTTTTTTGTTTTTTTTTACAATTTTCAAAAATTATTTTGGCACAAAAATGAAAATGAATGAGAATGTTGAGATTTTCAAAATTTTCATTTTTCGTTTCTAAAAACACAATAATAATAATAAAAAGAATAAAACCAATACACAAATAAACATGTCCTAATGGGTTTGGGTAGAAATTTTTTAAAAAAACGAAAAGAAAAGAAAAAAGATAGAAAATATAGATAAAATGTGAATTGCGATTCTCTTAGTTATATATTTGTAACTGAGAGATTCCTTCAATAGTGAATATAATAATGTTGTTTAATTTAAAATAATTACAAATGTACATTCCTAATTCATAACAATTAGATATGTAAGAGCATCTCCAACGATTCAGTATTTTTTTCACTAAATTTGAGTAAAAAATGACTCATTTCAACAAATCTGATATCAGTTGCTCCAACGGTGTATCAAAATCCCGTGAGTCAACCGGTTGGTGAGTCAACCGGTTGGTGGGTCAACCGGTAAAGCCAATTTTTTTTTTTTTTAACCTTTTTAAACTGTTTGAACCTACCTCCGTGGGTCAACCAGTGGGTCGACCGGTAAAGCCAATTTTTTTTTTAAACCTTTTTGAACTGTTTAAACCAGGCCAATTTCGCATGCACTGGTCGACCGGTTGGTCAACCAGGTGGTCGACCCAATGGTCATCCAAATGGTCGACCCATGTGTAAAATTCTGAAACTTTTCTGCTTCAACGGTCACACATAGTGTTTTGATGAAATATGTATTTTATCATTAGTTTGATGAATCGTTTGCTGAAATCCCAATTTGATATCAATTTGGTGTAATCGTTGGAGTACCAAATCATAACTTTTTCGCTAAATTTTAAATTTGATGTCAACTTTAATGAACTGTTAGAGATGGTCTTACTCCTCATATTAACCTACTGTCAGCCTACCAACTTAACCCTACTGTCGCCATTTAATGGTAACCTATTAACCTAAACCCAATTGCCACCATTTAATAGTAACCTTTTACTTCCGCAGGTCAGCCTTATTTATTGTAGCCTTTCACTTCTGCAGGTCGCAGAGTTGGACAGAATTTGGGAAAAAAGGTTAACACATTTATAGTTGCAATCTTCATTTCAACACAATTTTTAAAGTTTATAAGTAATTTTTTCATTTACTTTTTAATATAGTTATTGTATTTAGGTTCACATAAAGTATTCATTATTGATGATGATTAGATTATATTTTGTGATTGTGATTGTAATTGTGATTGAACTTAATTTATTTTAGGAGAAATTACATTAACGGTGTCTATAGTTTGAGACTTATGTCACTTTGGTCCCTGACTTTTCAATTGTGGCACATTTGACCATAAATTTTGAATCTTGTTTTAAATAAGGACAATTGAAGATACCATTGCTTAATTTCAAGAGTAAAATCGTCAATTTGATAAAATATCAATTAAGTTGACATGTCCAAAAAATATTTTTGAATTTTTAAAAATTATTTCTACCTATTAAAGATAAAATTATGTAAAATTGATAAATCTTTTAGACATTTATTTATTTATTTATTTATTTTACCAGAATAATTTTTATTATGTATTTGGATGATCATGTAATGGGTAATTGTTTTTATTTTCATTAAATTAGTTTTTATTTTTCTAAAATTCAAATATGTCAATAACTTTAATATCATTATTAAATTAATCCATTAAATCAAAAAAATCTAAAACTAAAAACATTTCATATATTAAATATATCCATTACACATTGAAATCCTAACATTGAAATCCTAACAACCATTTATTATATGATCATTATCTAAACACATAATAAAAATTAATTTGATAAAATAAATAAATAAATAAATATCTGAAAGATTTATTAATTTTACATAATTTTATCTTTGATGGGTAGAAATAAGTTTTAAAAATTCAAAAATATTTTTTTAACATTTATTTTTTCAAATTAGTTTATATTTTATCAAATTGACGATTTTGCCTTTGAAATTAAGCAATGATATCTTCAATTGTCTTTATTTGGAACAAAATTCAAAATTCAGGATCAAATGTGTCACAATTGAAAAGTTAGGGACCAAAGTGACACAAGCCCTAAACTATAGGGACTGTTAGTGTAATTCATCATTTATTTTAATCTGTGTTTTTCGAGGAAAAAAAAAAGGCGAATTACACTAACCATTCCTATAGTTTGGGGTTCATGTCACTTTAGTCTCTGACTTTTTAATTGTAACACATTTGACTATGAATTTTGAATCTTGTTCCAAATAAGGATAATTGAAGATACCATTGCTTAATTTCAAGGGCAAAATCGTCAACTTGATAAAATATAAACTAATTTGACACAAATAAATGTCAAAAAATATATTTAAATTTTTAAAAATTATTTTTACCTACTAAAGATAAAATTATGTAAAATTGATAAATCTTTTAGACATTTTATTTTTTTACCAAATTAATTTTTATTATGTGTTTGGATAATGATTATGTAATGGTGGTTGTTAGAATTTTAATGTGTAATCGATGTATTCAATATATAAAATGTTTTTAGTCTTGGATTTTTTGATTTAAAGGATTGGTTTAATAATGATATCAAAGTTGTCGCCATATTTGACTTTTGAAAAAATAGAAAATAATTTAATGAAAGTAAAAAAAATTACCCATTACATGATTATCATCCAAGCAAATAATAAAAATTATTTTGGTAAACAAAAAATAAATGTCAAAAAAATTTATTAATTTTACATAATTTTATCTTTAGTGTGTAGAAATAATTTTTAAAAATTCAAAAATATTTTTTTAACATTTATTTTTATCAAATTAGTTTATATTTTATCAAATTGATGATATTTCCCTTGAAATTAAACAATGGTATCTTCAATTGTCCTTATTTGAAACAAGATTCAAAATTCAAGGTCAAATGTGTCACAATTGAAAAGTCAGGAACCAAAGTGACACAAGTTTCAAACTATAGGTATAGCGATTTTGGTTTCGACCCGACCTTTGTTATATTCTGGACTCGGGTTCCGTGGTTGTATGTCGTTGTCCATGTCTTGCTTTCCTCCTTTAATTCTTTGAATTTGAGTTTTGGAATATGTTGGGCGTGTTTGTAATAGGTTGGTTGCTAGTTGGTTTAGATTGTTGCTGCCCAGATTTTGGCTTCTTCGCTCGAGCGAGCCTTGTATAATTTGCTTTTTCGCTCGAGAGAGGTTTCTTACGCTCGAGCGAGTTTTGAGAGTTCTCAGGTTTTCTTTCTAGACGCAACATTTCTGGGAAGATGAAGTTCTTTGCTCGAGCGAGGCTTCTTGCGCTCGAGCGAGGGTGTGCGTTTGTGAAATACCTGAAGGTATGTATTCTACGCTTAAGCAATACTTCTTACGCTCGAGCGAGGTCACTTGTTGTGTCTAATCGCTCGAGTGACCACACCTTCGCTCGAGCGAGAATCGTGTATATTAGTTCGCAGCAGAGCATTTTTGTATCACTTTTTGCATCTCTTCTCAATCAAAACCCTAATCTGGTATTCTCTCTCTCTTAGGTTCTCTCTCTTTACAAATACCTCAAGATCCAAGCATCTCTCAACCCTAGTCCCTTTGTTAAAGAGTTAGAACATCTTGTGGGCTTCCTTTTGATCAGAACAAAACTGAATTTGGAGCATTTTTGAAGTTCTTCATCATCTCCTTTGGGCTTCTACTCTTAAGGTAGGGATATTCTACACCTTGTTATGGTTTTTAACCTGGTTGTTTGTCATTTTGTATCAATGGTGGGATTTAGGAGGATTTGGGTGAAGTTAGGGTTTGAGCCCAAAATTTAAAAGAGGGATTTTATGTTGGGTTCCATGAATATGGATATGGGGTATTGAATATGAGATTATGTAAGTTAAAATAATGAAATCTGAACTTGGGTTTGATTTTTGAAAAAGGGAAAAAATTGTCCTAATTTGTGTTGAATAATTATTTGGTGTAAATAATTGAATTGATGTAAGAAATATGAAATTGGGGGGATGCGTGAATGAATGGTGTAGTTGGATTTGATAAATCACTCACCTATGAAAAACTTGATAAATTGTACATCTGTTTAGAAATATCTGTTTTAGGCTATCGGTGGAGGATAGCTGTGATTGTTGTAGAAACTGTATGAGGACTAGGTGAATTGAAACTGGTCATTTGAATTATGTCATTGAATATGACGGTTTGATTAAACCATTAAATATGTGATTTGAATAGTCATTGTATACGACAATGCTTTTAAATACATTGTATATGTATTATTGTTTGGGAGGAGATAGGGGATGGACTCTATCTAAAATTAAGTTGGCCGGAATGTCTAGGGCGAAAGTCCCGAAATCTTATATATATATATATATATATTTGGGTGATGATTCCCTTGGACGAGGACCATAAAATGGCAAGAAGTTTGAAGTGTTTGAATAATGAATGGTATTGAAATGTGAATAAATGAGTTGTAGTCTCATTTGGGATTGTTTAAATGATAAGAATCTATACTTATGCATTGATTTGAAATGAATGAATGAATGAAAATGGATTAAGTTTTGGTTATCAGAATGGAATGGTAAGTGGAAGAATGTAAGTTTGCCTTGAGCATTGGACTTTTATCTGACATTTATCTCTTAGTTAAATTCCATATATTGTGTTAGTCTATCTCTGATGGGCTTTGGCTCACCCTACTTGGGAAACCATTTTCAGGTATCGGTGATATGCCACCTCCAAGGACATAGCTTGGGAGGACTAGAGGCTGAAGGCTTTCTTTTGTTACATTTATGCTAAAATGTTTATTTAAGCCAAGGGCTTTACATGTATAGAGCTAGGACTCTTTCTTTTGTTATAACCAAGTGATAGCTTGGAAAGATGTAAGCCCGTAGGGCATTTATTTTGTTGTAATCAATTAGTGTTATATGCTGTAGTTTCATAACGAACATTTATGAAAGTATAAGGCATGTAATATCTTTTGAAATATTAACTCTGATGAATGAAGTATACCATATTATTATTATGTTCATAGATCTTATGGAATGGATTAATTACATTAATTTTTTGGGGCGTGACAACTTGGTATCAGAACGTACCGGGTTTGAATACTTTGGTACGTGGGAAGTGATTAGTACTACAATGGTTTTGTCTCGCTTGTTAGAGACTTAACTACGGATGCTATGTGCTTATATGATAACATGTCTATGTGATTATATGGGTATAGGATTTAATTTCTAGGATGTTGATCGGGTCGGGTCCATGGGTTTCTGGGAGTCCTGTTAGAAAGGCACTTGATCACTGTCGTTTCTAACTGAAACTCTAGTGACGCCACGGGACGGTCATTATCTAGAAATGAAATCCGTATGTGTTTATATGATCGTATGCTTATGTAGAGTGAATTATAGTTGTCCATCGTATTAGGACGAGGGTGAATTAGCTTCGACACATTTGCAAATGTGCTAATGTCTATCGTTACCTTTATTAGGATGTCAGGACAAGGTCGTGGTGGTAGGCGTGGTAGGCCTAGGAGGCACGAGATGCCCATACCGGATGAAATTCTGGCACAAGAGGAAGGGGTTGCTCAGGCCAATGTGGCCGAACCAGTTAGTCAACAGGCCATGGGCGCCTTAGCCCGTGAAATTGTTGGAGCATTGAGGGAATCCATGGATATTCTTAGAGCTGAGAATCAAGTCTAGGCCCATGTAACTGAAGCTGGGCCGTCCTTTCTGAAGAGGGAGTTCTTCCGGTCAAATCCAGACAAAGTTTTGGGTGATCCTAGGGAGCCGCTAAAGGCTGATGAGTGGCTAAAACAGATGACGAAAACATTTGAGATGCTCGACATCGAAGACGGAGGTTTGAAAGTGACCTTGGCGTCCTTCCAGCTGAAGGGAGACGCGGGTCAGTGTTGGAAATATGCACGGGGACGCATTGGAGGGACTTGGGAAGCCTTTGTGGATGCTTTCCAGGATATGTACTTATTTGCTACAGTAAGGGAGAAGTTGATAGATCAATTCTCCAAGTTGGTGCAATTGAATACACTAGTGGTTGAGTTTGAGGCCACTTTCACTAGTTTGTTGAGGTTTGCACCGGAGTTAGTGGCGACCAAGGAGTGCCGATGTTTGGAGTTTGAGAAGAGGTTGTAGATCGGACTTATGTTCAGAGTGGTCGGGTCCATGATTAGGGACTATGGGCGCCTTGTGGAGGCTATAGCCCATCTTGAGACTATCATGCATGCGGAGGAGGAGAGGATGAAGGGCTCCAAGAGGAGTCGGGATGGACAGAGGGGTAGTAAGAGGTAGAGGGGTTCTAACCCTCAGTAGTCCCAGGGAGCGCATTTGAGGTCTACCTTTCCAGTGCAGAGTTCAGGTTCTGGGAGAGGTGGTCAAAGAGACATCACTTGTTTCAAATGTGTTCAGTTGGACCACAAGTCTCCAGCTTGCCCACAGAAAGGAGGAGGGCAGCGAGCAGCTTCATCTTCGGTTCGTTCTCAGGGCCAGGGTCAGGGCAGAGGCCAGCCGCTCACTTATTATCAGTGTGGGCAAGCGGGGCACTTGAAGAGGTTTTGCACACAGTTGGGTGGCACATCTGGTTCGTGTGGTTCGAGGCAGACGTAGAGTCACCAGCCAGTGCAGTCAGTATAGGCCTCAAGGGCCAATCAAGGAGCCTCTTCGGCTCAATCAGTGCAGTAGTCTTATGCTCTGAGGGGTGAGCAGGTAGATCAGAGACCTACAGGGCGCGTGTATGTTGTTACAACACTAGATCTTGTACCGGTTCCATCTGTTGTGAGAGGTACCTTTTTGTTTTACAACTCGGTTGCTAATATGTTGATTGATACGGATGCATCCCATTCATTTATTTCGTCTGCATTTGCATATGTTTTGAGGTTGGAGTTGGCACAGTTAGTATCTCCTATAGGTGTCGTGTCACCTGTTGGGGGTGAGATGATTTTGAAATAGGGGTGTCAAGGCTGTGATATAGAGGTCGCCAATCGCCGGCTTCCTTTTTCTTTTATATTGATGGACATGTCTGGTTTTGATATTATTTTGGGTATGGACTGGTTATCGTCATACCGGGCTATTATAGATTGCTACCGTCAGAGGGTTACTGTATGTACCTTGAGCGGTGATTGTTTTTATTTCTTGGGGGACCGAGTGGATAGAGTCTTATCACCAGTGTATGATCCGCATCGGCGGAGTGAACTTAGCTGTCTTCTTGCTAGCTTTTCGAGTAGTGAATGTGATGAGGCCCGGGTTGAGTTGCCTAGAGTGGTTTGTGAGTACTCGGATGTCTTTCCTAAGGATCTTATTTGTTTACTACCTCACCAAGAGATCAAGTTCTCTATTGATCTAGTGCTTGGTACGGCACCGATTTCTATGGCACCGTATCGGTTTGCGCCAGTTGAGTTGAGTAAGCCAAAGATTCAGCTCCAGGAATTATTAGATAATGGTTTTATTCGCCCTAGTATTTCGTCTTGGGGAGCACCGATCCTCTTTGCTAAAATGAAAGATGGAGCCTTACGACTTTGTATTGACTATCGAAAGTTGAACCGGGTTATGGTTAAGAACAAGTATCCAATGCCTCGTATAGATGACCTGTTCGACCAGTTGAAAGGGTTTCGTTGTTTCTCCAAGATAGACTTAAGATCGGGTTACCACCAGTTGAGGGTCAGGGAGGAGGATATCCCAAAGATGACATTCCGTACTCGGTACAGCCACTATGAGTTTCTTGTGATGCCTTTTGGGCTAACCAATGTCCCAGCTGTGTTTATAGACTTGATGAACCGAATCTTCTGAGAATTCTTAGACCGTTTTGTGGTCATCTTTGTGGACGATATTCTGATTTACTCATCCTCTGAGGAGGAGCACGAAGAACACTTACGAGTGGTGCTTGAGTTGCTTAGAGCCCATAAGCTGTATGCTAAGTTTGGGAAGTATGAGTTCTGGCTAAGAGAGGTTAAGTTCTTAGGCCATGTAGTATCTAGGAAAGGGATGACTGTAAATTCATCCAAAATTGAGGCAGTGCAGGATTGTGCACAACCTAAGAATGCTTTTGAGATTCGTAGTTTCTTAGGGTTGGCTGGGTATTACAGTCGGTTTGTGAAGGATTTCTCCAGATTATTTTCATCTTTGACTAGATTGACGAGGAAAGAGGTTAAATTTGTATGGAGTGAGACTTGTGAAAAGTCGTTCCAAGAGCTTAAGGTCAGACTTACTACCACCCCAGTCTTGATTATTCCAGAGAGAGGTTTGGGCTATTTAGTGTATTGTGATGCCTCACGAGAGGGTTTGGGTTGTGTATTGATGCAAGAAGAGAAAGTAGTAGCCTATGGCTTACAGCAGTTGAAAATAAACGAGAGGAACTACCCTACCCATGATTTAGAGTTAGCAGCTGTGATTTTTGCCTTAAAGATTTGGAGGCACTATCTGTACGGTGAGAGATTTAAGGTGTTTTCTAATCATAAGAGTTTGAAGTATTTGTTTACACAGAAAGACTTGAACTTGAGGCAGAGAAGAAGGATGGAGTTCATAGAAGATTATGACTTTGAGTTGCATTACCATTTGGGGAAGGCCAATGTTGTGGCCGATGCCCTAAGTAGGAAATCCATCAGTAGCATAGCTTGCATTGCTATCTGGGAATGGGAGATGTTGGGTGCCCTTGGGGAATTTGACTTGCATTTGGGCAAATCTGTTGAGTCTGCAGCCTTATTTTCAGTAGTTGTACAACCTACACTTGTGAACCGAGTGTTAGAAGCACAGAGGGGTGACTTTGAGGTAGAATTCCTCCCGGAGAAGATCTCCTGTGGGAAGGTAGAGAAGGGTTTGACTATGTATCTCGACCTGAGTGTGAGGTACCGTATCGTTTGTTTGTACCGGAGTCTTGCCGAGAGGAAGTACTCTGAGAGTTTCATCATTCATGCCTTGCGGTGCATCCGGGAGGCACAAAGATGTATCATGATCTGAGTTGCCAATTTTGGTGAAGGGGTATGAAAAAGGATGTGGTCGTGTTTGTATCGAAGCGACTTACTTGTTAGCAAGTGAAGGCCGAACATCAGAGGCCAACGGGTTTGTTACAGCCCTTGTCTATAGCTGAGTGAAAATGGGAGCATGTCATGATGGATTTTGTTATGGGCCTTCTGAGGACTCAACGACGTAGTGATGCCATTTGGGTGGTAGTTAATCGGTTGACCAAGTCAGGGCATTTTATTCCTAAGAGCGTGAGTGATTTGGTAGACTATCTTGCCGACTTGTGTGTTAGGGACACAGTGAGGTTGCATGGGGTCCCTGTGACGATTGTTTCGGATAAAGATCCACACTTCACTGCTCGGTTGTGGCAGAGCTTGCAGAGTGCCTTGGGTACTAGATTGACCTTTAGTACTGCTTAGTATCCTCAGACTGACGGGCAGTCCGAGCGTACTATCCAGATTCTTGAGGATATGCTTCGAGGTTGTGTCCTTGACTTTAAGGGGTCGTGGGAGAGACATTTACCCTTAGTGGAGTTTGCCTACAATAATAGTTTCCAATCGAGTATTGGCATGGCACCGTTTGAGGCCTTGTATGGCCGACTGTGTAGATCTCCAGTGTATTAGACCGAGGTGGGCGATGCACCTTTGTTGGGTCCAGAGATGGTCCGGGAAACGACGGAGAAAGCGGCACTTATCTGTAAGAGGTTGGTTACAGCTCAGAGCCGTTAGAAAAGTTATGCCGACCGTAGGAGACGACCTTTGTCCTCTGAAGTGAGTGATCACGTCTTTCTGAAAATATCACCTAGGCGGGGTTTGATGAGATTTGGGAAGAATGGGAAGTTGTCCCCTCGGTTTATTGGCCCTTTTGAGATCCTTGAGCTAATTGGAGAGGTTGCCTATCGTTTGGCGTTGCCGTCACAGCTTTCCAGAGTTCATGATGTTTTTCATATTAGTATGCTTTGGAAGTATGAGCCGAATCCATCGCATGTGTTGGATTGGACCGACTTAGGGGTAGACGAGAATGCCTCATATGAGGAG